GTGTGTGTGTGTGTGTGTGTGTGTGTTAGGAGGAAAAGTGCTGAACTTCCAGGGGCTCTCATGGCTCAGATCTTAGGGTATCCTCCCTGCTCAGATCTGGCAGCCTCTGGTTGTCAGACTTGAGGTCTCTGAGCCCCACTTCCATTCTCACCTCTCAATACTGGCCCCCAGACCTCACTTTCCTCTGGGACCTTGGCATTCAGCCCAGAGGCTGGGAGAGAAGGTGGAGGAGGAAGTGAGCACAGAGTCTAGATCTTGAACTACATTTCCCATAATGCCATGGGGTTGGCTGCGGCGCCCTGGAGAGAGACCAGGGGGCCTTCTGGGAGTTCTATTCCTAGGGCTGGGAAGGGCCGCTTCTCGCGTCCTCCTCTGTCGACGACGCCGGGGTCTTGGGCACCTAGTGGGGAGCATGGGTCCTGGGGCCCGGGATGGGGAGGAAGCTGAGGCCGGAAGCCCGGTCCTCGTGCCTGGCCAGCCGGAGCAGAAGGGGCACTTCTTCGGTAAATGCTGGGAAAGTTCCGGTCTAAAAGGCGGCCGCCTCTGTGACGTCACAGCACGACGGGCGGGGACTCCCTTTGTTGCGGTCCAATCAGGCTCGGAGTGCAGCTTCTGGGCGGGGCCAAGGAAGCCCCCAGGGAGTATCCCTTGGGAATTCGGGCTCCAACTAGGAAGTTAGAAGTCGGGGGCCGTGGGAGTACCTCGTGGCGAGGGGCGAGCCGTGCCTCTGACCCCAGTCCAATGCTCTCGATACCACGCAACCAACCTCACCCTCGCCCCTAACCAAAACCCCTCATTTTAGTAGTGGGAAAATAATAGGGTGAAGGGACGTGGCCGAGCTCTCCTCTCGCAAAGCCCTCAGAGCCTGGACCCCCGGCTCTTCCGCGAACCCTAGTGTTTGCGGGCACAAGGCTCTGAAGTCTAGATCGGGCAGTGGCTGATGTGGGTGCATCGGGACTCCTCGTGTTCCTAACGAGAAGTGTGCGCCCTGCACATTTGGGGGAGGTGGGGGGGGGGTCCGTTCGTCTCGGGGAAGGGCATCTCTTCGTTTAGCGCTCGCAGCCTCCGGGTGAAAGGACCTTTCCCGGAGGTCGGCGTGGATTGAACGCCCTGGCCTCAATGGGGCCGCGGTTTCCTCTCCTGGTGGCCGCGCTGGGCAGCTGCCTGCTTCCTGCCCTGGGTTGTCTCTGGTGTGATCAAAGGGTCGTGGAGGCTCTAAAATCCTTGGAGACGGATTACCTGCCCGACCACTTGGGGGCTGAGCATCACAAACCCCTGATGGAAAAGTTAGAGAATGCCGTGAAGGATTTCAAGAACCTGGAGCTTGAGGAGGACGAATTCTTTCTGCAGGTCGTCGGTGAGGGCCAGGCAGAGCCGGGACTCCTGGGTCCTGGGAAAGGAGGGGTCTGGGACTAGGGTTGCTGGGTGCAGGGATGAGAGGGCTGGAGGCAGAGTCTTCTGGGTTTGGGTACAGATTTAGGGAGTTTCCCCAGGGCTAGCAAATACTGTGTTCCCCTACCCCTTATCCTGCAATTTTATGCAACAAAACTACAATTCCCAGAAAGCAACAGGCGGATAGTCCCTTCACCAGGCCTATCCTTGCCCAGTGGCCCCATGGGTATTGTAGTTTCTAAGACTAGGTGAGCCCTCCATACAGTTAACACTGGAATCTGAGGTTGTCTACCCTGCCACAGATGATGCCACACTGGAAAAGGGAACCTGGAGTTTTCTGAAAGAACTGAAACGCATCACGGACAGTGACGTAAAAGGTAAATGCATGACCCTAACCGGTTTGCTCAGTGGATAGAGCGTCGGCCTACTGACTGAAGGGTCCCAGGTTCGATTCAGGTCAAGGGCATGTACCTTGGTTGCCGGCACATCCCCAGTAGGGGACGTGCAGGAGACAGCTAGCTGATCGATATTTCTCTCTCATTGATGTTATCGATGTTTCCAACTCTATCCCTCTTCCTTCCTCTCTGTAAAAAAATCAATAAAATATATATTTTTAAAGATAGGTAAATGCATGGAGGGGACAGAGGAGGGGCTCCAGAATCTCTCAGGGAAGTGATCGATGGTGACGCCTGGTCAGGTACTGGGCTCTGGAACCAGACTGCCTAGGTTCGATTCCTGGCTCTACCACATGCTAGCTGTGTGGCCTTGCAGCTTGTCACCCTACACCGGACACCACAACAGGGCTCTAGTCCCAGCCGTTGCTTAGCCAGTATGTTCAGTGGCCATTCAGTTTCACTGTCCTGAGAGCCAGGCTCTGCAGACAGAGACACACTTCCTGTAGCTCACACCTGGAGTCGGGGCGGGGGCCACTCTGCTCCATCCTGCTTCTTCCCCCCAGGTGAGCTCCTCGTGAAGGAGCTGTTCTGGATGTTGAAGCAGCAAAAGGAGAGCTTTGGCAGACACGTTTCTCTGTTCCAAAAAGATGGTGAGGGAAGGTGGGAGCTCCGGGCCCCCAGCCTCTCCATCCTCCGTCCAAGAGTCCTTGTCCCCAGCCCCTTGCTTCTCCAAGTCGGGTCCCTCCTCCCTCAGACCCAGGGGTTCAGGCATCCAGGTCCTTCCTCCTGCAAAGCTGGGCGCTCCAGCACCAGCCCTGACCTTTGACCCCCTCTCATCCCCTTTAACTTAACAATATGATTGTCTTTTTTTTTTTTTCTCTTCCGAGGCAGCTCTCTGTCCCAACAAATGCGGTGAGTACGGAGTATGGGAGCTGGTCCTCCTTCCCTCATCCCTACTGTGAATGCCCAGCCTTTCTCCTCCCCCTGCTGGGTCTCCTTTTTTCCGGAGCCTGGTTAGATCTTGGCTTCCTACCGAGCCCTGCCCTGCCCTGCCCTGCCCTGCCCGCGGCCTTGCCCTTGCCCCTCTCCTTTGAGCCCCGCCTCTCGGGGGGGCACAGACAGCCTTGACCCTGCTCCCGCAGGTATGATGTTGCAGACTCTGACCTGGTGCGATTCCTGCGAGAAGAAGCTTCACGCTTGTCGGAAGAACATGGATTGCGGGGGTGAGAGAGCTGGGCCCGAGAGGAGGGGTGGGCGCAAAGGGGGCGTGACTGAGCCTAGAGAAGGTCAAGGCCACCTTCAGTGTCAGCGGAGGAGAAAAGGCGGGGCTGCCCCAGTGGAGGGGCGTTGGGGGAAGGCCAAGAGCCCTAAAGCGCCGTCCCACGGTGACCCCCTGTCCCCAGAACGCAGAGTCAATGTCCATGAAATGGAAGACATGATCTTGGACTGTGAGCTCAACTGGCATCACATCTCCGAAGGCCTGACTGATTACACCTTTTACAGGGTGGGGCCCTCCAACCCCCGTACCCCTTGAACTCCGAGCCCCCAGGCCCGTGTGACCCCCGTCTCCCATTCCCCAGGACCCATGACCTACTAGGTGTGGCTGCCAATGACCCCTTCCGGACCCTACACCCCGACCAGTACACAGGACTCCCATCTCCCCCACTGAGACCCGTGATCTTCTTACCCCTGTACTTCCCCCAACCCCTGAACTCCCCAGGCCTGTGACCCCTTGAGCTTGGGTCTAGGTTTGGAAGAACAAATCTGAGAGCATGGTGTACAAGGGGACAGCGCCCACCCTGACCAAGGCCAGGGCGAAGCCGTCGGATGCAGGCACCTACCGCTGCCAGCTGAACACCGTGAAAAATAGCCCCGCCACGATCATCCGTTATCACGTCAGAGGTCAGTGCCGGGGGGCTGAGAGAAGTATGGGATTCAGGGATCCGGGGCTGGGAGCGGCCTGCTTCAGGGGTGTGTGCGGGGAAATAACTTCCGGCCACGGTGTGGTTTGAGGCCAGGAGAGTGTCGCTTCCTGCCCCGCGTGTGGCTCTGGCCACGTAGGCAGGGCTTCCTTCGGGGTGGGTTCCGGCGTAGCCGTCGGAGGCGCGTTAATTATCTTCTGCTGGGGCTGGGTCCTGGGGCGGGCCGGGGCCGGGAGGGCCCGCCCTGGCTGTGCTGGGACCTTCTTGGTGCCTCCCCAGGACGATCCCTTTCTCCTCCTCTCTCAGTGTTGCCCAAAAGAGTTGTGGAGGAGACGCCGTCCACAAACATCATCCCAAACCCGGAGGATGTGACCCTGGATGAGGTGACGTGGACGCCCAACAAGTCGGCCACCACCATCCCGCCTCCTCCTCCGTCGCCGTCTTCTGCGGCGCAGTCCCCGACGGTGGAGAACATGCTGAGAAGCCTCCTGGTCGGGCTGCTCATCTGGGGCTTTGTGGTGCTGATAGCCAGCATTGTCATCTTGTGAGCAGCCTGCAGAGAAAGGCAGGGCTTGGCGTGAGGGGCGGGACTTCCAGGCCGGAGGTGGGTCTGGGAGCTGTGGAGCCCTGAGCCCTGGACCGCCACGGGGGTGGGGTGGGGTGTGGACCGCCAGTGGGGGCTTCCCTAGGAGGGCGAAACTCGGATAATGGCTAGAATAAGATCAGCTAGCCTGGGGGGCTAGGGGCTGACCCGGTTTGGCTGTGTGCACCCCGCTGTCTCCCAGGATGCTCTGCTATTGGTCCGAGAAGAATCCTGGCTACTTCATTGATTCCATAAAGTCCTGGGTCAGCACTGCCAAGGAGGCTGCTCAGAGCCCCAACAACGTTCCAGAGAAAAAGGACAAGAAATCTAGGAGCCAATAAAGATTTATTTGTTTTAAGTATCTGACTCACTCCTCCATACTGATCTCAACTTGGGGTTCCCCGAAGAGGAGAGGTCTGGGGACAGTCTCCTCTCCGAGGGAGGAGGGGCTGGAGCCAGGCCCCCCCGCCCGCCCCCGTGGCTCCTGGCAGGGCCCAGTGTGTGTGATCCAGAATGAAGGAGTGGGGCAGAGCCAGCGTTTTTTTTTTTTCCTCTGGCCTTTTCCTGTCCCCCACCCAGTGCTGGGAGCTGGGGCAGACGAAAGGCTGAACAGGAGCAGCGGGGTCGGGAGCAGACCCAGGCTGACGGAGCCAGGGCCCCCCGGGGTGCTGCTGGGACCCGAAGCAGGGTAAGAGCCGGGGACCCGGGCGTCCAGATCCCTCCTCCCTCAGATCCAGGACTCTGTCCTCGGCCACTTTCCGTCCCACACCCAGGAGTCCGGCCTCCCTTCCCTTTCCTCTACCCAGACTCAGGAGCCTGGCCCCCAGCCCCCTCCAGGTTCTGACCCAAGTCCAGGCCCTCCCCTCCCCTCCTGCCCATCCCCACTACCCAAAGCCTCAGGAGTGGGGCCTTGCCCACCCTCCCCGTAGGGCCATGCTATCTGGTGAACGGAAGGAGGGCGGGAGCCCCCGCTTCGGGAAGCTGCATCTGCCCGTGGGCCTTTGGATCAATTATCCCAGGAAGCAGCTAGCCAAGCTGGGGCGGCGCTGGCCCAGCGCAGCCTCCGTCAAGTGAGTGGCCTCCTCCCCGGAACCCCTGCCCCTGCCCCGTCTGCTCCTGCCTGCCCTTGTCGATGACCCAGGCCCTGCCCTAGGCAGTGCCAGGGACCTCTGAATGGGCAAGTGAGCTGGTGGTCGGTCGGTGGGTCGGAAGGACACAGTGGGCCACGGCGATCCAGGGCCCGGGTGGGGGAGGTGCTGGGCGTGGACACAGGATGGGGACCCAGAGGGCGATGGATTTGATTCACTTCTTTCCCTGATCACCCTTTGAGGTTCCCTTCTGTAGGACTCGCCTACTTATTTATTTCATCTCTTTCCTTGTCTCCGGCCTCTGCCCACCTCGCATCTCCACACATCCTACGCTCGCTTCCCACCTTTCCGCCCGTCTCTGTCCGGTCTCCATGGGTCTCTGTCACTCTGCCTCGGGGCCTCTGCCCCCCTCCCCCCCATTCTGGGTCTTTGTCCGCCTCCCCCCTTCTCTCACTCCCGCGTCTCTGCGCGTCTCTCTCTCCCGCATCTCCGCTCCTCGGCGGGCTCCCAGGTCTTCCTCTTCCGACACGG